GGCCGCCTTTGTCTCCCCAGTGGCGATGTTTACACACCGCACCAGGTACTCATTTGAGGCCGAGTCGACCTAGGGGAGGCACCGGACCGGTTCAGATAACCGTCACCGGTGTTGGCCGTGAGCGGGGAATCGAACTCGGGTCACCAGGTTCGTAACGCAGCGTGCTAACCGCGACCACCACCGCTCCCCACACACACACGTAGACACACACACGTACACACCTCGCAAAAATAACAGTGCCGACTGCAGCACAAAGCTCTGGCAAAAAAAAACCCACTACATGGCACAGCGCCAACTGCACAGCTCACAAAAAAACACAGTCGGCGACTCCTGCACACAGCCAGCGCATAGCTCAGAAGAAAAATGTTACACCGCTCAACAACACGGCACAGCGTAGATGGTAACTAAAAAAAAATACAGCACAGCTTTCACATAGCATACACAGAGCTCGCAAAAAAAACAGGATACTAGCAGTACATATATAGCTCACAAAATGCTGCTTACACAGCTAGCAATACAGCCAGCGACATTGCTCACACACAAAAACACTGACCGACGCAATAACTGACCACACCACCACCACACAGCTCACCGCTGATACGGTAAACATATATATAGCCGGTACCCAGCAGCGAACAACAGCAGCCTCCCTCCCACCCCGCCTCCAAGATCATGCAGCAGCAGCAGCAACAACAACAATCATCATCCGCAACAGCCTCGTTTTTATCCCTCGCCCCGAGACAGCAGCCACCACCACCACCAGCAGCAGCAGCACGGATAAGAGATGATTGCCGATGGTGTCTCTCCGATCGTCACAGCCGCTCGCTCGCTCGAACATCGAGACAGACCCCCCCCCTCTCCCCGGCTGCCATGTCGAGCAGGGAGAATGCAAATCTGCCCCCTTGTTGTGTTTTTTCAACATTTCATGTCGGGACGCCGATCACGGCCATTGCTCCCTGCGCGCGCGCGTGCATGCATGCATATGATGACGACGATGATGATGATGACCGTGGTGATTATGACGACGATGATGATGACGACCAGCGTTGATGTTGACGACGACGACTATGATGACGGTGGTAATGATGACGATGATGACGACCAGTGTTGATGTTGTCGACGACGATGACGGTGGTGATGATGACGGTGGTAATTATGACGACGACGATGATGACAGGGTTTATGACGACGATGATGACGGTGGTGACGATTATGACGACGATGATGATGACGACGATGACGGTGATGATGATAATGACGGTGATGATGATGACGGTGATGATGATGACGACGATGATGATGACGGTGATGATGATGATGACGACGACGGTGGTGGTAACGAAGACGGTGACGCTCATAATGATGATGACGTCCACAACAACGTTGATAACAAAGACCACGACGATGTTGATGATCACGATGTTGATGATGACGATGTTGATGATCACGATGATGGTGGTGGTTATTTTGATGACAACAACGGCGACGCTCAATAATGTTGATGATGAAGGCGATGATGTTGCACGGCTCTGCTGCTGCCACCCCTGCAGATGATGTTATTTAGAGCGCGCATGTGCGTGTTTGTGCGCGTGTGTGTGCGCGTGTTTGTGCGCGTGTGTGTATGCGTGAGTTGCATGCGGGGTTTAAATGCCCCCCCAGCTGTGTGCTCCTACCTCGGTAGTCCTCAAGCACCTTATAGTGCACGGCAGCGCCCGCCTCGTCAGAGATCAGGTCGGTGAGCTTCAGAATCCCCATCTCTGTGTCGAACACAGTTCTCCGACGCTGAAGGAGCAGCGGGGGTGGGGGAGTTGATCCTCGCGAAGCAGATCGGGAGATTGGGGGGGAACGATGTCTTTGAGTTTTTGTTTTTAGCAACGGTGGTGCGATCGAGACTCGCACAGCGCAGCAGAATCGATTCGCCAACCCCCCCGCTAATGCACGAATCGCGAAATGGCGATTTCGGAGTCCCTTTAAACAGAGCGTGCACCGCAAGCAGCAGCAGCAGCGAGCGAGTGGGCGAGCACACGCACGCGTTTGCCTGCTCGGGAGCGTCCTTTAAATCCCCGTCACTCGGTGTAGCAGCAGTGGCCACGTGTGGAGGCGCGAGGGATATTTATTCTCTCGTTTCGCTGGTGTTGGTGCGGCGAGCAGTGGAACGGTTTTGGTTTTTCGGGAGGGACTCTTTCACCCCCTTGCACGCATTTGGGAATTTGCCGTGCGCGTGTTTTCATTGAGCGTGCAGAGTGAATGCGAGCGAGCCTGTGTGTGTGTGAATGTTGCACGGTGTGTGAATGTCATTCATTGTCGGTATTACAGATTATTTAATTCAGCTTCATCGCGAAAGTACCGCACTTTTATATTCGTTACGACTCGCGTCGCACCATGCTCAGAAGCAGCCAGGGTCGAATCCACTGCTGGATGGAACTTTGTCAACACCCGTCTCTCTGTGCTTCCTACCGCACTTTGGCACGGTTTGTAGCAGATTTAAACGATTTTTTTCTAAGAGAATGCAAGAGCGGGTAGATGCACTTAATTTAAACTTACCATCCCTCAAAAGTGTAGGTGTTATTTTGTCGGTGTTTACGAACGAACAAACGTCGCGCAAAATTTTGGGCGCAAAGAAAATTCGAACATCGCCATTCCACCCCCAGCACCGATGGCCAGGTGGGACAGCTCAACCGCACGCTGTCTGCGATGCTGTGCCACGTCGTAGCGGACAGACGGACAGACTGGGACTTACACATCCCAGGAGTCTCGGGGGCTTATCGTCGAGACCCCAGAGCCAACAATCGAAGACCACCGACTTGTGGCTCTCCCAGATTGCCATTCGAGAGACCTTGACGAAGAGAAGGCGGTGGGGGGGCACAGAGGGAGTCATCCAAGCGATGCCAGAAGGGAGCAGGGCTGGAGCGAGCGTGCCGCTTAATCACGCGCTGATGGACTTTGAGATCTGGAGCGACGGTTGCGGCGGATGTACCGGTGGTTTTTGTGTTGTGATGTAAATGGATGCTCCCCTTTAATCGGCGTACTAGGAGGTACTAGACGCAGGGATAAGCTGTGTTAACCATGTATGAAAAATGGAGGGGCCATTGTTGGTCCTGACGCCATTCTCCCCTTTGTGCTGGGGCCTGTGTTCAGCGTTGAGCAACAACTATGTAAAATAATCCCATACTCGTGGGGACTATATCCCCTTGTGAAACGCGTAACTAAAGAGGGTATCTAAGGGGGAGCCCGAACTCGGTTCAGGGCGCAAGGCTGAGGCCAGACTGGAAGATGACAACCAAGACGGAGTGCAGCTGGGCTGGGTTCAGCGGAGCTGTACCGACTCTCTAATTATCTCCATGTATATAAAAGGCAAAGTTGTGAATGTGTCTGTTCAAAATGTTTAGCGTACTTCCCGACATGCAACAAACTTCAAATTTGCCATGTGGGTACTTTCCAGACTGTACACCATGCAAAAATAATAAAAATACACTTTTTTTGGGGGGAGGGGAGCTCAATGCATATTTTTTTTGCACGGCAAGTGAGCTGTCACGTCAAATCTGTCACGTGACCCGCGCATGTGGAAGCGTAACGCATTGTAGTGTAGTGGTTAGCGCGCTGCACTACAAACCCGGCGACCCGAGTTCGAATCCCGCTCACGGCCACCGCCGGTGACGATTATTTGAACCGGTGCTGGGCCTCCCCTAGGTCGACTCAGCCTCAAACGAGTAAGTGGTGTGGTGGTGAGACAAAGGCGGCTAGCCGTGTTGAATCCAAGTCCCGAGCGAAGCCGGGTAGTAAAGCTAGTTGTAAATAAAGACTTACCTTTTTTGAAATATATACCTCCAAGGAAATCCTTTACACAGTGCAGGTGACCGCAAGTGACACCAATATCAGTGATTTAAAAAGGGTTAGCGAGCTAAACGTTTGCATTAACGTGGTGACCATCTAAGGTGATGGCGATTTTAAAAACCCCAACAAATTAATATTTTAAAACCCCAACAAATTAACATTTTAAAAGTTGGTTCCCAAAACATGGAGCCCGGTGCAGGGCCGTATTATCAAATAGGCCACAATCGGCACTGTGGCGAAGTACTACGGAAATTAAAGGGCCTACAAAAAAATGTTGACCATTTTTTTGTTTGTATGATCAAAAATGTAACCATTAAATATTATTGCATAAATATGTATATTTAGCAAGGATAGGCACAGTGTATACACAAAGAGGCAGTCATGTCAATGTTTTTTTTTCATACGGCGAGAGAAATTAACACCGCAGGTGAACTTTTTTTTAGAATTTTTTTATTGCAAAATGGGCAAATAACATCTTCAAATGGCGTTTTTCGCACTATCACTCTCAATTCGAGAGTAGTGCCTACGCTTGGTCGGAGAAATGTTTATTTTTTTTATCAGCTTTAGCGAGTGACAGCCGTGGTAGTGGTAACATAGGCAGCAGTACCAACTGTCGAAAGTTATCACGGAAGGCCTACGAAACAGAAGTGCCTCGGGCCTACAAGAACCTTAATCTGGTCCTGCCGCGGTGGATAATTCGCTTGCCACCATGTATGTATGCTGAACTTCTTTCGCACCGTACATAGCCTAAAATCCCAATGTGCTCAAGCTCCCGTGATAAACACACATCGACAGCCTCCATAACCGGCGAACACCATCGGTTTTGTGTTTCTCGGGAGTGTGACGATACATTCGACCGAACGAGGCAGAGCCCCGCTACTAAAAGCTCGTGCTCTATCCACACGGCGACATAGTGCATCTCAGTTCCGTCTCCGCACAGACTGTATGTATATTTGTTTAGCGAACAATACAGACTGCATTAAACTCGCCAACGAAAAGAACCACCACACCATTATCAGCAGCGCCACTTTCTGTCCACCAGCACTATCAACGGCAGCAGCTGTGTCTCATCGCCACGACCGAATCCACGCAAAATATTTTGGTGCAAAAGTTTTGAGAGGTGCAGGCAATCCGATCACTGCCTCGGTGAAAAATCAGACCTCAAGTTGGGAAAAATGTGGTCATTTTAATAGTCACGCATACGAATACAGAGTATACATAGTATATACGGTACATATCAAAGATGCGGCATTGTCGTATGGCTACACGTACGACATCCTCGTACTTTCACGATGCCGTGGCTATCAACAACGGCAACGTAGAAAAATGTGCACATTAAAATCGGTAGAAATCCTCAGTTATATCATATAAAGCGCTGATACAAATTTAATTTAAAATCAAACGACGTGCCTGACGCACAAACGAGATTTTGCGTACGCAGGAGTTTGCTCACGTGCACAATTTTAATGAGAAGATAAAAAGGCGCTCCATGTCTCAAAGCTGCATTGCCAACACAACACTTTTGGCTGGTTAAGGTTTATTTCTCAAACACTTTGCAGTTTCGTTATTCCCCCCCCCCACCCAAAAGAAAACCAGAGCAAATTTTATTTTTAAATAAATATTTGTTCGCACGGAATGTGCGTTCGGTCACTGCATTTGTAAACGCGTCCGCCCTGTAAGCACAGCACCGCTGAATTGATCAACGCTCGGTCGCGGAGATTTTTTTTAGCATACTTCACGCGGGAGAGTACGCGCTTTGTCGGGGTGGGCGGCATAGACGTGGAAGCATAGAAGCGCAGTACAACAATTTTATTGCACTGCCCCTCCATGACCCAGATCCCATCTCTGAAGCAACCTATGAAGAAACCTGTAAGGTATGGCACAGTCACCCATCCAAGCACTATCTAGGCCCAACCCTGCTCTTCGTCTAAAATCTGACGGGCATCGGGTGCATTGCGGGTGATTAGATCATAGGCACGTACGCACACTTTATAAACAAACAAAAAACAACCTTGTGTTTCTGGACACACCCGTCAGCTTGGTCCGTTCGGTGACCTCGTTTCTCAGTTCCCAGCTGGGTTGCCCGGTGAGGCAAGTCAGCTTCCACACCTCTCCGATGTCGCAAAAGGCAGCAGCAGTGGCGGCGGCGGCGGTGATGGTGGTGATTGCACTCTCAGAGGTTGGTCGGGCAGGCAGGCACGGAGCGGAGCCCTCGAACGCAGCGAGAGAGATCGCCTGTGTCCCACGCCGTTTGCTTGTCAAGAGTCCGCTGGACATGGGGTCACGGCCAGACGCCTGTGAGCAATAGGCACTTGCGTGTTGGGGGTTGTTGTCTTGTAGTTCTCTCCGGTATCGGGTGCATTATATTACCAGCAGTTGATAGACCATGGCTCGTGATGATAATGTGGCCTGGGTCTGTAGCCCAGGCAAGCTCCTTCACAGTGCAGGGGAGCTGACAGACCAACAGATGCTCCATGTTCCGTATGTCACACCAGGTCTGTGTGGCTGCCGCACCACTCTGAGACGTTAAGAGCAGTGGTGATGCAAGCCCACTGGGGGCCCCAGGCAGAAATTAAATTTGTGAGGCCCCCGTTCCCCATTCAAAATTTATAAAAATCATAGTGAGATGACAGAAGGGATGAGAGACTAGAGATAAGAGATGTAGATCAAAATAGAGGGGTGGTGAGATTGCGGGAGAGAGAGATGCAGATAAGATTGACGTGAGATAAATTACTAGGTTTGTTGTGTTAATTGGTCTGTTCATTAGGATTTAAATTCAAGCTCATATTTGATGCACCCTGATTTTTCATTAATCCGCGGCTCCTTGTGCTTCATGGAGGCCTAAACTTTTGCTTAGTTTGCTTATGCAGAGCACCGGTTAAGAACCTGTGTCCGGGCATCTTGTAATACCAGCAGAGATACCAAGACAACGCTGGAAACAAGTTCATCAGAGTCCATTCCTCTTGGTGCTGTATCTGCCAATCTTGCCAGACGAGTTGGGGAATGATCCTCTTGTCCAACATCCCAGAGACAGCTGTGCTCGCCATGGAAAATCTCTCCTGATTGAAAGAAAATATTTACTTAGGACAGTGCGTTTCATTACTCCGAGAATATGAGGCTCTGTCCTATCATCGTTAAATTCCTAACCAATCTAAATGCCAAGAGTACGCTTATTTTGTTCTATTGCAGCATGGTGGAAGAGACGGCAGTGGCATGCGGAGGCCTTCATCCATCAGCGGATTGATCCTGGCCGATGATTATGTTTTGAGAATGCAATTGTTTTTTTTCATGTTTCTATTTTTTAAATGTCAATGCGATGACGGTCAGTTATTTTGTCAAGTCGACTGCTCAATGAAGGCCTCTATATGCCACACCTGATGTGGGGGCTGTTTGATCATACTTTACCCTGCCGGTCAGTGCAGACTCTTGAAGTGAGGTGCCCAAGTCCAGTTCAGATATCGCTCGCCACTGATGTTAGCCGTGACTGAGAATTAAACTCAGGTTGCCGGGGTCACAGCACAGTGCACGGACCGCTCCCCTGAATGTCTTACTCCTAATTTCATGAAACTGTGCCGAGGGGTGTTACACGAGATGGAGAGATTCCCGTTCGGCAGTGTAACTCCACTCCGTGTGAGAGAACACCACCCGGAAATGTGATATCACTTAAGTACTTTCGAGGTTCCTTTAATTGCCCCACTCACATCGTCAACGACAAGGACCCCCCCCCCCCCCGTGTAGCCTTTAGTAGACCCGTTGGGGAAAATGCTGTTAGGCGAGCACCTATGAAGGCCAGCACGGCACATGAGCGGGTGGGTAGCCAACGCCACAACACCCACCCACCGTGTTCTCGCCAATGCTGATGTTTACACACTGTGCCAGGTATTCATTTAAGGCTGAGTCGGCCTCGTGGACGGCCAGGAACAATTCAGATATTCGCTATTGTTATTGGTCGTGAGCGGGAATTGAACTCGGGTCGCCGGGTTCGTAGCACAGCGAGCTAACCACTGCATGACCGCTCCCCGTTAGTTGCATGTGTCATCACACCTGCTCACGTGCATTGCCACAGGAGATGTTCAGTGACATGACAGTCTAAGCAACATTTTCAGTCCTCATCTGGAAAATGTCAAATTAAAGTAGAATTTAAACTCCACGTAAAACAAAAAAAAGTGCTTGCAGTCATTGGTGACCGAGCCAATTTCATCAATTGGCCACACTCAACAAAACCGGTTTTAATCACGGCTGGTTGCCCAGATTTAAACCTACAATCGCAGCAGTGCCAACTCGGTGTCCACCTGAGCCACCTAACTACCTGCACGATGTGTATAGTTATATTTTTTTTATATATATGGAGACCAAACGGATTTATGTTAATTAATTTTCTCTGTGATTATTTTTTTCTTATAATGTATATTCTCCTTATTTATGTATTGGGTTTTTTTCAATTTGCTAAGTAGTGGGGGTTTGTTTTTTCCATTATCTGTGTACGGAACTGGATAATTGGTGTGCAGCGTTGTGAGATGCAACTGCATGAATGACGCTCTATACGATTAAACAATTTGTACTATTATTTAATCCTGTCTTGTTCAAAACATACTTTGCACATCCTGAACGCGAGTTCCGTTCGGTGTGAAGCGTTCATCATCGGCGACGACCGTGGTGGTGCTCACCAGTGCACACTCACCAAGAGAATCCAGGCTCCGGCAGCTTCCGCTCTTCATATTCTCGAAAGTTTTCCCTTCACCTAAAGAAAGAAAACGGGTGAATAAATTGATGAAATAATCAAAACACATTTCACCCTTTCCTGCAATAAAACGGGTGGTGTTAAGACATTCAACCACCAAATAGATACCTTTCGATTTAAAGCTTTCGTGACTGCAGGGATTCATCTTCTTGGTTCTTTCGGCAAAGTCACGTAGAAGGGAAATAATACAATTATAAAAATAAAACATACTGAAAGAACCAAGAAGACCAAATAGATACTTTGTGCAAGGAAGGCATCAAGTACTGCATTAACCATACTTGTGGCAAAAAATGCAAACAAACATGTGCTAATAATATACTTGCATTGTCTTTGACACTGATTGGCCTACACCAGACAGCCTTGTTGATGGCCTTGTCTCGCCAGTGTTAGACCAGGGAACACCAAAAGGCGAACGGTACAAAGGCAATGAAAGTTCGAGAACGCTTGTAGCTTGGGGCGAGCAGTTATATCTACGGGATACCTTTTTGCCAGTATACAAAATGATGAAAAATAAGAATCGATTTTACCATTTTCTGGCAATAAAACAGGTTTTAAGACGTTCAAACACCAAATAGATACCTTTTGCAAGGCATCAAAAGTCTACATGAGCCACAGGTGAATACATTGACAATTTAAAAAATATATACTTTTCCTGCTAGAGGTAACAATGCAGCCCTTGCAATTGTTCACGGCACTTCCGGTGGAAGGGCCTCCCCGCTAGAAGGGGCCCTGTAGAGCCTTTCTCGAAATGTAAATTTTTGGCCTACTCCTCCACGCTGGCCAGACGTGTTGCAAGAGCCTGGTGAAGCTACACTTCACCGCACCACACGTGGCCTGCCGGTCAACTGTGCTGTACCCATTAATGCTGCTGGGCGCACAAACGTGGGCGGGGGTTTAAGAAACCTGCACCATTGTTTGCGAGCGATTGAACCGGCGAACTCTGGACTGCAAGTGTAGTCTGATAAGCATTACGTCACCACGGCAGCATCCGCATATGAGCCGACTTGCACTGCACGGAGTTTATTGTTTCACGTCGATTCGTGTTCATACGCAGTGTTTTCTATCCCTCGTGCGTCACGGAATGTTTTTTTGTTCTGATTTCTGTTTGTTTTCACTCTGCTGTTTGCTTCATTGCTCGACTTTTCTTCAGTTTTTTTTATTCTCTTTCATCATTTGGGTGGCTCAAGTGTCACCGTTGCAAATGAGACTCATCTTGTGCGGTTAATGCAGACTCGATGCCGCCTTGCAATCGGAGTCTATGTGGTGTCCGAACATCTTATTGCCAGAAAGGTTGAAATCTATTATTCTTTTTCATCAATTTGACACTGCCAAAAAAACGGGTCCCGTAGACATCGACCTCTTGAGAGTTCCCACCTGGTCAAAAGTAGGGGGGACAAACATTTCGAATGGTGGGAACAAATATTGACGGGGGCAAAATGATATTTCACGGTCTCCACGGCCGATCACCGACCTCCGCTGGCATCGTCGCGTCCGGCGGCTCGACCCGGCGGGTGGCGGGACCCAGCTCCACAGCGCGCGCGCGCTGCGCAAAGTGCAGCGAGCAGATCGTCTCGGCCGCGTGGCGCGCCGCCGGGGCCACCTGGTCAATCGCAGCGCAGACGACGCGCGTTTCAAAGTTGAACCGCGTGTTGTTCGGCATGGCGCCCGACATTGCACTCCACGTGCCGGGAGCTCCATCGTGCCGAGCGACACGCAGCGCAGCCAAGAGCACGCGCAACGGAGAGAGAGTTCCGTACAGCACGGCCGCCAATACCTGCGCAGTTGTAGGATACTACGCAATTTGGATTTCATTAAGTGCTTAAATGTGACTCACTGCATATGTACAAACAATCGATCAGAGCGTGGAGAACAAAACAGTGGGCCGTTTAGAAGCCAGCCAACCACCGCGCGGAGGCGCGATGCGAGAAACGCGGGTGAAATTGCACGATTACGATGCGGAATGACATTGCTTCCAAATGCACCCGCGTCTGAACACGCTGCAGAAACAGGGATCGTGTTTATTGTAGAGAGAGGCAGTCACTAATAGACAGAGGGAGAGAGGAAGGTGTTGAGCCCTTGGACTTGAAGAGAGGCAGGGGAGGCGACAACCGTCTCAAAAACTCAGTTCAGCTCTGCAGTTTTGATTCTTCCCATTTTACGTGTAAAGTGCCAATAAACTATTATTTTATTTGGTCTGCAATCACTTTCGTAATGAGCGATCATCTCAAATAACCCTTTATTCTGGCGCCTTGAGACCTACTGTATGGGAGCCACGGCATAAATAATAAATGATGATGATGAAGACAGCGCGGATAGCTGTGGGGGGGAGTACCATTCAATAGGGGGCAGCAGCGGAAAAACAAGAAACCTATCGTGACCTGTAATACATTCCCCACCGTCCCTCCGACCCGGTCGTGGGTAAGCGCTCCTCCTTCCCCGCACGGCTCGCGAACTCTCACCTGGATGACCATGAGCGTCTTGCTCTCCCGGGCCAGCGAGTCTTGCAGGAGGTACGTGAGCTTCGAGTTCCGGAAGGGGACGTGCGCCTGCTTGGCCCGCAGCGCCTGGATCACGTCGCCGAGCGCGGCCAGCGAGCGGTTGATGTTCTGGGCCTCGCGGAGACGGTCGCCCTCGGCCCGCGACTTGGCGAGCCGCTCCGAGCCCGCCAGGTCCACCAGGTTCAGCCTCCCTGCGACCGAGTGCCGAGGGTCGTGTGCGCTGTATATATATATACAACTAGCTTTACTACCCGACTTCGTCCCGGGACTTGGATTCACCACGCCCGGCCGCCTTTGTCCCCCCAGTGGCGATGTTCACACACCACAACAGGTACTCGTTTGAGGCCGAGTCGACCTAGGGGAGGCCCAGGACCGGTTGAAATAATCGTGACTGGTGGTGGCCGTGAGCGGGAATCGAACTCGGGTCGCCGGGTTCATAGCGCGGCGTGCTAACCACTACACTACATGTTAAAGCCTACATGTTAAACTGACACTACAATGCGTTACGCTTCCACATGCCCGGGTCACGTGACAGATTTAACGGCACAGCTCACTTGCCGTGCAAAAAATATATTCATTATTGAGCTCCTCCCCCAAAACGTCTATTTTTATCATTTTTGCATGGTGTACAGTCTGGAAAGTACCCACATGGCAAATTTGCAGTTTGTTGCATGTTGGGAAGTACACTAAACATTTTGAACAGACACACATATTCACAACTTTGCCTTTTATATATATGGAGATGTGTACTTACATACATCAACGTTTATCGATGAACCTACCACATTTCTGGCAGGCTCGACCAGGGACATGCGGTGAGCTGACCAGCCCCTCTCTGTCTCAGTCCTGGCCACTTTTACAAAGCCACGCCCACTCAACCTCTAATCCCCCCCAGTGAGCGGCCTCCTCCTCCTCCTGCTTCTTGGATGTTGGCCCCACCCACTGTTCAGGTGCTCCACTCACTGCTCAGGTGCCCCACCCACTGTTCAGGTACCCCCGCTCACTGCTCAGGTGAAACCGCCGACTGCCCAGGTACCCCGCCCACTGCTCAGGTGACCCACCCATTGTTCAAATAGCCCCCACCCACTGTTAAGGTAACCCTGCCCACTGTTCAGGTAGCCCCTTCCAATATTATTTGGGTCTTTCGGTAAAGTCACATAGATAAAAAAATGTTTTAAAAATAAAAGAAAAATGATGAAATTAAAATTATTATTTTTTCAATAAACGTGGCTTTACCGAAAGACCCAAAGGATATGAATTCCTGCAGTCACGAAAGCTTTAAGTCAAGATTACAGCCCCATCCAATGTTCAGGTAACTCCGCCCACTATTGTATATAAACCCGCCCACTATATTCTTGGTTCTTTCGGTAAAGTCAGGTAGAAGGGAAACAATAAAATAAAAAAATAAAAAAATTTATAAAAATATAAACCAATAAAATTCTCACGACGTTTCGACTGCAACACAAGCAATCATCATCAGGTGTGAAAACCACAGCAAGAAAATACAAAATGTTCTTGCCCATGGCTCAGGTGGCCCGAGTCAAAGAACAAGTTGCTTGTGTTGCAGTCGAAACGTCGTGAGAATTTTATTGCCCGAGTCAAAGAACAAGTTGCTTGTGTTGCAGTCGAAACGTCGTGAGAATTCTATTGCCCGAGTCAAAGAACAAGTTGCTTGTGTTGCAGTCGAAACGTCGTGAGAATTCTATTGCCCGAGTCAAAGAACAAGTTGCTTGTGTTGCAGTCGAAACGTCGTGAGAATTCTATTGCCCGAGTCAAAGAACAAGTTGCTTGCGTTGCAGTCGAAACGTCGTGAGAATTTTATTGCCCGAGTCAAAGAACAAGTTAAACCGGGGATAAAATCCTGATTTTTTGCAAATGCTTTGGATCACCGGGACGGCCTTTCTTTGAACCGGCACTGCCCCAGTCAAACCAAGGACGTTTGGCAGCCTTACTGCACGTGTGCCAACATTCCTCGAGGTTTCCAGTCGAAAACTTGGGGCAGTTTTCGGTAGGCAAGGCCTTTGAGCAGCAGCGGGGGGTTGATGTCAGAGCAACGCCGCTCACCGTGGCCATGGAGCAAGTGGTCGAGTGGGCGTCGCCATGTAAAAGTGGGAGGGGGTCGACAGAGGGCAGGGAAAGGCTTGCCAGCTCAACATATGTCCTGGATGAACCTCCCCGGAAATGTGTTAGCTCTCCTCCACAGACCCCCATCCCTGCTCCAACCCCCGCCGCTACCCCGCAGAGACACAGGTTGGCCACGCGTCAGCATGGCCACGGCTGCCCGCACGGTGCCCGCCCGGCCGGCCTTGCGCGCACCTCGTGTGCTGGTGCCCGTGATGGAGTTGGTGGCGCTGACGGTGACCAGGATGAGAGCGTGGGAGCGCGAGCTGTGCTCGTTCATGTTGGTGCAGTGCGTGGCACGGTTGCTGTGGCCCAGGGACACCAGCTGTTGGGAGACGTCAACGTCTGAGAAGTGGAATGTGTTTTCGCTTCCACTGTGACCAATAAAGTAAGAGGCGAGCAGTTACTGAGCAACCCACCACTTCCACGAGGGAGACGTCACGCTACAGTTGATTCACAGGTGTTCAACATTATACTTTTAATTCAGAACTAAAAGTAGCACGAGGATCAGAATTTAAACAAAAACACGTGAACACTTCCCCTTTACAAAAAAATCCAGGTTTTTTTCAGATGGCGTGAGCTGTTATTATCATTACATTTGACTAAAAACTATGCGCTATCTTTTTTTTTCACCAGGTAAGGCCCGATGAAGCGACCTGGCCACAGATGTTAGCTCAATCAAGTGGCTCATAGTGTGGAAATTTGCAGCAGCCAAATACTCAAATTGCATGTTGTGTTTCTATTTGTGGAGGGAAAAACCGGAAGACCCAGAGAAGAATCCACGTGACCACGGGGAGAACACGCAAACCCCAAATATACAGCAGCAGGCGTCAGGGGTCGGGATCAAACCCACGACCTCCTGTACACCAGGCGAGGTAGTTAACATCTCCTAGCCACCGCTGCGCGCCCAAAGACGAGAGTCACCCTGTGGACGTCGCCGAGCGAGGTCACGGGCTCCTGCCGCAAGCCGGGCACACACAGCTCCCCGCTGCCATCGGGGCACAGTCGGATGTCCAAGCGGCCGTGCCCCTCGCTCCCGAGCAGATCCCTGCCACACGAAGACAAAGATTCCCCCAACCCCCCGCCGTTATAGCCTTTGGCAGACTGTTGGGGCAAGTGCTGTTTTGCAAGCACCTATGAAGAGCGCACGTGCACGTACGCACAGGGCGAGGGGGAAAGGGAGCGTCGTTATGTGGCACCTTACAGCGTGGTCTGGGCTCATGCTGTATTTCCGTGGACATCCTAAAGAGAGATATTTTTCTGCCCCAATACACGACTCTGTGAAACTCAGCCTTTTGCTCCACCTCCATCACCACCCACCCCCCCCCCTAAGGCCAGAGGTAAGAGATCACATTCAAACGATCTTTCAAAAGTGAAGAAAATTCCAAGAGTTGCGCAATGCTTTTCGCGAGCTGACATCTACTATTTAGTAATTTTCAGCCACGTGTTTTGTCAGCTTGCCTTCTCACTAATCGCGTGAATGTGGCATCGGTGCGCAGCTGCTGAGACTGCCAGGTTCTGCCCGTCCCGTGGGATAGCATCGACCGACGGGCCCCTGGCCGCTGCCACCGCTCGCACCGCTCGCAAGGCGCCCTCACCGCAGGGTCTCGTTGTAAATCTCCAGCATGCTGAGCGACAGCGTGTACCGCCACTCATCCTGCCGCTCTTCCATCTCCTGGAAGAGGTGCTGCAGCGCTCGCTGGTTGATCCCAGGCGCCTTGGCCGTGCCCTGCGCGCGCGCAGAGGATGATGACGATGGTGATAGTGTACTTCTATGCTCCTTGGTCTCCCACTGCCCACCTTCAACGCGCACTAGTCCGGCGTGGTCGAATAACCCCATAGCTCGACCCACACGGCGCGGAGAGGCCCTCATCCAAGAGCGGCCCTCCGTGTGGAGCAAGACGCGAGGGATGTGCCGTGTTCACCTGCGAGGGAGATTACCTCCATGGTGTACGTCTTGCCCGAGCCCGTCTGGCCGTAGGCAAAGATGCAGATGTTGTAGCCGTCCACGCAGGACGTCACCAGGTCCTGTACCTCCCTGAACACCTGGCGGGGTAGACACATGCCCGTCGAGGTGTCTCGAGACGGAAAACGTGCGGCGGAGCGAGCAGGCGTGCGTGCGCGCGCGACACACACAGAAAAGCACAAGACCAGCAGCTTCCACCTCGTTAGAAATTCACACGGCACGTTCGTTCGCCCGGAATAGCATAGCAAGGCCCTCCTGTAAAATAACCTTGAGACTCGATGAAGTGTTCCCGAATAAATAAATTCAGCACAAGTCATCATCGTTATCAAGTCATGATCGATTCACTGCAGGATGAAGGCCTCCTCAAGCTGTCGCCATGCTTTTGGTCACGTGATGCAACAATCCATTGAGCGAACGAGCTGATCTCAACACTCCATCTCCGTGGTGGACGCGATCCACCGGGGCGGCTTGTCCCTCCTTTGGCCGTCACGTCATCATTAGTGTCACCGACTGCCCATCATCCTTGCTCGCGATGTCTCCCGCTTAAGCCCCCGACTTCAACCACCGCCCGAAAACACGGGGACAGACTGCGACCAGGATGACGTGGGGAGTAAGAGTACAACTCGCTCACACACTGTTGCGTCACCATCACCCGAGGGGCTTAGCCTGACACAAGAGGTTTGGATGGAGGGCAGGCTGAGAGAGGTGTTAGCGTTGGCCGCTAGAGGTTTAAAAGCAAATCCTCACAGAGGGAGCTCACGAATCCCGGTTGCCGAACCTGCTCAGTGTTGGGCCTAGCTCACCGAGGCACCTGTGGGACCCCGAGTCGAGTCTGCGGTCGCAGTTCACGAACCAAACCGGTACAGTGCAAGCGGCACGAGAGACAAGCGCAGTCGAGTGTTGGGGGCGAGTGCTTGAGTCTGTGCGTGAGTGTGTGTGAGTACGTACGTGCGTGCGTGTGTGCGAGTACGTGCGTGTGTGCGAGTACGTGCGTGCGTGAGGGAGTTGAGTTCGTGCGTGAGTGCGTGCGCGCGCTGACCTCCTCCTGGGAGGCGTGCGGGGGGAAGACACGGTCAAGCTGGAAGGAGTGCTGGCGCCCTCGCTGCGCCACGTGCACCGCGCCGTCGTCCTCGGTGTCCACCTGCACCACGCTGTGCGCCAGCGTGCCCTCCCCGTCCTCCTCGATCGCCGGACGCACGCGGCACAGCACGCGGATGTTGCCTAACGCGCGTGCGTGTGTGTGTGCGTGCGTTCAGAGGGGTTCACCACCGCCTACCGGGCAGGTTCACATTCAAACGCGCGGCTCCCCGGGTTGTGACCGCGTGCCGTTCTGCACGACGCCCGACGTTTCGCTCCGCGAGCCGCGAGCGCACGGGAAGGAGCCGAAGGAGCGCTCGGAGCGCGCGGCACGTGGAGCGGCGGGGCGCGTCGGACGCCGTGCCGTACAGCTTGTGGGACGCAACGCGGAAACGATTCGCGCAGCTGCACAGCACAGACGCGCAAAACTTACGCAGTGCCCGTGACCATGTGGTCAAATAGCGTGGACGCTCTGCACCTCGTGGCTTTCAAAGCTTTTCAACCAACTAAGCCTCGACACATTCTCACACCTAAGTCGGCACACAAGTCTTACGACTGTTCGTTCGTACGTTTATTTATGATATTCCTTTTTCCAAGAACCGTCAACCAAGTGCACCCCACACCATTACACCAAGCCAGCAACATAAACCACGTGTAAGACTCATTGGCACTGCCATAGCGCGAAACATCGTGTAAATGCGGAAACCATGAAATATTATGAAATAACAATCAACATGCAAGATAATGTCGATGCGGTTATTTTGCCTTGAACGCGCTCGTAGTGTATCGTTATCCCAAGACATATTCTGACCGCTCCACCATTTACATGCCCGAGAATCGATTCGTAGAGCACTCTCAGGGAGTACCCTCGGTACAACCACCAAATAATTCTCAAACGCATTCTGACCGCTTTCCGCTCGGTTCCATCCCACTTGTGCCAAGCCTGTCGGACCGTTAGCCGCCCTCATCCTTAGGCCTACTTTAGGCCAGGCCCTTGGCCACATGAGGCCACTTAAAAATGGCTCGCACACAATAATTACCCATCACTGCAAGCACCTTAGCCACACTGGTCAGGAACAAGAGGGAAACATTTCCAGCCTGGCAGCAGCACTCTGCTTTTATGTATAAAAACATGATTGCGAGCTGTCACTTTCTGTGTACCTAAGGTAACTTATTTTTTGTATCCGTGCACTTAACCTGCCTTGACGTAACCCAGATCATCACCCTCGAAAAAGAGGCAACGACTTGTCACGATTCTCACCGGGGTTTATCTTAATCTCATGATTAAACAACAACCGATATTTATCCATCGCTGCATACTGATTGACCGGCATCTGTCACTGACGGCGACAGAAATCACGAGGCGTGTGTGCGTGGGCGCGCGCGTGTTTTCACGTGTGATCGCCCGCCCTAAGCTATTGCAAGCCCTAATCTGCTCTCGGCAAGGGGAAGGTTCCCGCACTCCTGGATTAAGAGGCTCCGATTGATTGAACGGACGAGCTTCGGTGCCCTTCGCCGCGCTGAGCGGCCGGAGAGCACGCGTCTCGCAGCCTTAGCGTGGCTCAAGCCGATTAAACGCGTCCGTCGTACCCCGCAGCTCCACCAGCTGGTTGTGGTATTTCTTTCTCAGCACCATCTCCCGCTGGTACCGCCGCTCCATCTCGTCGCACCGCTTCGACATCTCCTCCACGGCCCGCGCCAGCTGCCGCGGCGAGCACACGGGCGGCACAGAAATCTCCTACGTATTTTATAATGAAACAAATCATATTATTATTATTGCTGCTGCCTAAAAGACAGCAAGCGGTGGAAGACAGCAAGCCGTGAATTAATATTAAATATATATTCTAGGGGTGTAATGCCTCCGCGAATCAACAGCGCAGTACAAATGAAATAGGAGCGGATAATAATTGTTCTAAAAGCATCCAGTGACGATGCTGTGCTGTCTTAAGTTTATTCCAGTGGAGATAAATCTCCTGCAGTGGAGGCTCTCGCAACCCAAGACGGCAAAAATACTCCACATGACAGATTGCGTCCGAAAGGTTGACTGGCATGCCAGAAATGTCTCGTGGCCGGACCACAGAGTGCTGCCGGCCAACGGCGTCAATCGCGACCCCGCGCGCTCGCGACACCGCTGGTCACCCACCTGGGTCTCCACGTTGGCCACGCCGGTCTCCAGCAGCTGGGGGAAGCTCTTGGTCTCCTCCTTCAAGCTACGGTAGTCGCTCGCCAGGGACAGCAGCGCCGGGCCGAGCGACGTCAGCCGGTCCTGCACCTCTACACGGTGGCGGCGGCACCAGACGGAGAGGGGCCAAAGGTCACGACGGCATTCTCCAGAATACGACAACGCAACTTTCGTTCCTGGATTTTGAAGGGGATAAACGTTGGGGTGGGGGGGGTGCGTCTTATAAGGTGGCGCGATCGGCCTGTGCAAGGAACGGCGCGAACACTCCCCATCCTACTCACCCGCAGCGTTGACTCGGGCAAAACTAAGATCTATTAAAAATATATAATTACAATGTTGCATGGAAGTACCTCTGGATTGGCAAACTGGAGTCGTGGTTCCCGCTCTTTTAAAAGGGGACCAGAGGGTTCGCTCCAACTACAGAGGAATCAAACTCCTCAGCGTCCCAGGTAAAGCCTACGCCAGAGTGCTGGAGAGGAGGTTCCGCCCGGTGGTCGAGCCTCAGATTCAGGAGGAACAATGCGGATTCCGTCATGGTTGTGGAACAATGGACCGGATCTTTTCCCTCTCGCAGATATTTAAGGGGTCATGGGAGTACGCTTCTCCAGTCTTCCTCTGCATTGTAGACTTGGAGAAAGCATATGACTTTGTTCACCGCAATGTCTTGTGGGAGGTGCTGCGGGAGTACGATGTACCGGTGCTGCTTTTGTGCACTATCCGGTGCCTCTATTCCCGGAGTGAGAGCAGTGTCCATATTCTTAGCGTTCAATCGAAGTCGTTCACTGTGGGTGTTGGACTCCGCCAAGGGTGCATCTCGTCTCCACTCCTGTTTGTGATTTTCATGGACAGGATATCAAGGCGCAGCCGACGTATGGAGAGTATCCGGTACGGGGGCATGGAAGTGGCATTGATGCTTTTTGCAGACGACGTTGTCCTCTTTGTCTCGTCAGTCTGTGGCCTCCAGCGTGCACTCAAGCGGAGTGTGAAGCCGCCGGGATGAGGATCAGCACCTCCAAATCTGAGGTCACGGTTCACTCCCGGGAGACGGTGGATCGTTCTCTCCAGGTGAGGGGGGAACAGCTGCCCTTAGTGGAGGAGTCCAAGTACCTCGGGGTCTCTTTCGCGAGTGACGGTCAGTGGGAGCGGGAGATCGGCCGGCGGATCGGTTCGGCGTCCGCGGTGTTGCGGGCGCTGCACCGTTCCGTGGTAGTGAAGCGGGATCTGAGTTCTCGAACAAAGCTCGCGGTCCACAGGTCGATTTACGTTCCCACCCTCACCTATGGTCATGAGCTATGGGTAATGACCAACAGGATGAGATCGCGGGTACAAGGGGCAAAAATGAGGTTTCTCCGCAGGGTTGCCGGGCTCACCACTCTCCGTGATCAGGCGAGGAGTCGAGCCGCTGCTCCTCCGGATCGAGAGGAGCCAGTTGAGGTGGTTCGGGCATCTGGTAACGATGCTCCCAGGTAGACTCCACCTGGAACTCTACTGGGCACGTCCCACTGGGCGAAGACCCTGGGGCTGGCCCAGGACCCGCTGGCGGGACTGTGTCACTCAGCTGGCCTGGGAATTTCCCAGGAAGAGCTAGAGTCTGTCGCCAGGGAAAGGGGAGGTCTCGACCGCCCTCCGCAACACCCTGCTGCCGCCGCGACCCCTCACCATGACAAGCGGACTGAGAAACAAACGAATGAACGAATAATTACGTCCTCTTGTGGAGTACTACGAATGTACAGCCCTTTGTCAATCCACTTCTGGATGCGGGCCCTCCCACGCTGCAGTTTGTGGAGGTTATTCGATGCAATATTTTTCCCCCTGTGTCCCATTTTCCTTGGAAATCTTTCATGCGTTCTAGAAAGATGGAGTTGAATTTTTCACAATTACCCCAAGAGGAGCTTGCAGCCGTGCCGGTTTGCAGGTCGTTAACGATCGTTCCGTCCCTCCTGGTCGGGGCGGCAGTTCGCTCCTTGCACATTTATCCCGTTCAGTTACGCGCACCGTCCACGGACGGCGGTTCAATTTCGAAAATCCTGGTTATTCCGTTTGCGTGCACGTCACCGACCAAATCCCCAATCTCCCTCCGGGTGGGACACCCTCGTCGGAGCGGTACGGCCGTCAGCGGGCACACGGGGTAACGGCGGGAACCCGACGTTGCCGCAAGAAGCGAGCGAGCGAGGGCCGGGCGAGCTCACCCAGCACGTAGGTGTGCGCCCTGCACAGCTCCGCCTGCGAGGCGAGCGCCGTCTCGGCCACCGCTCGCTCCTGCAGCTCCTCGAGGCGCTCCAGCTCCTCGCGGAACTCCCGCCGCGTCAGGGCGGCCTCCTGCTCCGCCGCCTCCAGCTGCGACGCGTCAGCACGCGCGCACACACGATTACACGCACGCACCATTACGCACACACGATTACACGAACTCACCATTATACAAAGATCCCCCGTATAGCCTTAACAGACTGTAGGGGCAAGTGCTGTTAGCGAGCACCTATGAAGGCCGGCACGGCACACGTGGGGGTGGGTGGCCAGCACCACGCCCGACCGCCTTTGTCTCCCCAGTGGTGATGTTTTTATCCACCGCATCAGGTACTCATTTGAGGTTGAGTCGACCTAGGGGAGGCCCAGGACCGGTTCAGATAATCGTCACTGGTGTTGGCCGTGAGCGGGATTCGAAGCCGGGTCGCCAGGTTCATAGCGCAGCGCGCTCCCCACAACCATTATACACACGCACCAGTACACACACGATTACACACATGCACCAGTACACGCACACACGATTACACACACGCACGATTACGCACACGCACCACCATCACACACACGCACGATTACACACACGCACCAGTACACGCACACGATTACACGCACGCACGATTGCACACACGCATTATACACACGCACACACGCACGATTGCACACACGCACGCACCAGTACACTATTGCTGGTCAGCGTGGAACGAGCACCTCGAATGAGCACGGTTGGCTATGTGTGGTGTGAAAAAAGTTCAACATGCACACACACACACGGAAGAATATTTCCGCTCACGTCACGGCACGCGGTATTCAGCGCCCGACCAATGAGACGCCGCGTCTCATAGGCGCACCTTGGCTAAACGGTTGTCGTAAATAGCCGAGTTAAAATATAAATGAGAAACCGTGGGCACTAATGCAGCGTTCCCATGCCAACACACAACCCTCGGGGACATGGCACCGCCCTTTAATTACCCCGATTGAAGTGGGATTTTATTCGGTCAAGCGATTTTTGCCTTCTGGGCGACAAACAGATGACTTCACCAGCCACAGCGGGCCCCGAAAACATCTCGCTTGCACGAGGGTGGCGGCGCCACGCGTTGCATCGCAACTCACAGTCCACGGATTCGTCGTGAACCTCGCCGATTCCGCGCACAACTCGTTCAACCGAAAACGACTCTGTGCTGTGCCGTGGCGATTATTTTAACTTTTTGTCTCCTCCCCAAACGCTATTCGAGTTGCATCTTCCGGCATCGCTTCACGAGACAAGCCGTCCGTTCGGAGCTCACGCGGAGTGCCGGCAATCGAGAGAACGGTCCCCCCCCCCCACGCAGACGGAGGAGAAGCGCGAACGCTCATTAACCGCCTTGATATGTCCTTGTTTTACTCTCAGGGTGAATCGGTTGCACCGTTACTTTCCTTGTCACCCGCCCCCTGGCCCCTTTCTTAAATACCTAAACCTCACCCCGCCGCGGTGCCCCGGCTTGTGAGGGGCAGCAGGTCACCCCACCCACCACTCTTCCAACCCCCTCATCTCTCTTTTAACCGGGTTAACTCGCGCCATCGGGTCGAACGCGCGACACAACGTGCTTGAAACGCGCCCGCGCATTCCCTCGGTTAAGAAAAAAAAAGATCACAGAACCACTTCTGAGGTGACCTCAAGCGATTGTTTTTGTATCTACACCACGAGAGGGCGCTGATCCTGATGTAGAGGAATACCAACGCGGTAGGTTGGTGGGGGTTTTTTTTAATTCTTTGAATTAGGGTTAATCCAAATGATTTGACGCAACAAATTCAACGCAATGGCTTTTTTGCGCAATCGCTGGTGACCGGGCTGAGACCAGTCGACTCGCTATGCACGAGAATCCAGTCCAATCGCACGCGCCTGAAACGTCGCCACGTCATGGAAGAGGGGGGGAGCTATATGCAAATGACTGGATCTTTTGCCCGATTATGTTTGGCGTACTTCCAAACGAAACGTCGGCTCTAATTGCCACGTTTGGCTGTGAGGATTGCCTTTCTTCAATTTACCCACAGAGTTGAAATAGTAAGTCGGCAGGTTAAATCACAAGTACCGGCAGACAATCTCATTTATTTGGTTGCGTCGGTTGTCGGAGGGTCCATGACACACATCTGGTCAGATCATGTTTGTGGCCTAACCCAAACATCAATTAGAGCTGAGAAAAACCGAGACTTTTAATGTCCACGGATAACCGACAGGTTTCCCAGGATAACCCTAATGGACACCCAACGGCACCCAGTGTCGGATTATTCTAGTAGCAAAAGTAGCTACACATGTAGTAGCTACATGTGTAGTAGCTACATGTGTAGTAGCTACATGTGTAGTAGCTACATGTGTAGTAGCTACATGTGTAGTAGCTACATGTGTAGTAGCTACATGTGTAGTAGCTACACATGTAGTGGCTACGGGCCCTGCACTTTCTAGGGCCCCGCGCTAAATGCTTTCAAGCTATCAATTCCGGTCCAGTGATTCTGCACTAGCTCTATTACTATAGTACTATACTGCCTTCAACTCTTATGAATAGACTGGGTGTTTAAGGTTTGCAATTTGTCATTACCTGGCTGTATAGCAAATGAAAAAATGCAATTACTTTACTATGCAAGTTAAAAATGTCTATGTTTTAATATTTACGTTTTTTTTTATTTAGGGGCCCCTTTATAACATTTGCTACATGCCCCGCACGAGCTTAATCCGGCACTGATGGCACCGTCCGTGGCCATGCTCCTCGGCTACAGAGCTCCCCCCCCCTGCCCCCCCCCGCCCCCCAGGCACCTGCAAGCGGAGGTGCCGCTCTGTGCGCTGCGATCCTTGCAGCAGCTTGTGCAGCCGCTCCCGTTCGCCCCGCAGCTGCCGCAGATCGTCCTGCAGCGCCGCGTTCTCGGCCTTGAGTGCGTGGGGGGCCTTGCCCCCCCCCGTGGGGTCCGGGTCCCTGGGCCTCCCCATACCCTGGGCATGGCGAGACGCGCGAGCGCATGGCACACGCAAGCATGCTCGCATAAGCACGGACACACCCACGGCAAACGGTAATACTAATGACAGATTACAGCACTCTTTCAATCCACTGATAGATACCAAAACTAAACTATTTTTTATTTGATCAGTTAAGGCCCAACGAAGTGGCTTATCATGTGGAAATTTATGGCAGTTAAATACTCAAATCGCACGTTGATTCTGACTGTGGACGGAAAAACCGGAGGCCCTGCAGAAAAATTCCACACAACCACGGGGAGAACATGCAAACTCCAAATATACAGGTGTCAGGGTTGGGATTGCACCCACAACCTCCTGTATACCAGGCAAGGTAGTTAATAGTAATAGGTTTTTACCCTTTTAGCTGGCACAAAAACATGATCCCTTGTATAAAGGTAACCACCCCAGATGTCGCTCGCCACCATAGCCGAGAATCAAACTCCGGCTTCATAGCTCAGTGTGCTAACCACTGTGCCCATCACTCCACCCTCAATGAATACCGTGTGCTAACCACTGTGCCCATCACTCCTCCCTCAATGAATACCGTACATATTGGGGCAGGCGCTTTCAATGAGCACCTATGAAGGCTGGTACGGTGCATGAAGGAGGGTGGCATAGGCAGCATCACCGCACCAGGTACTCATTTGAGGCCGAGTCGACCTAGAACCGGTTCAGATAATCGTAACCAGTGTTGGCCATGAGCGGAAATCAAACGCTACACCACCACTCCCCACATGCACACGCAGATACACGCACACACGCATGCGCACATGCTCGTACGGACACGCGCACACGCATGCGCACATGCTCGTACGGACACGCGCACACACACGGATGGACACACACATACGCAGGCATGTGTGTACACGCAAGCACGTACATAGGTCACGCGAGGACGCGCTTCTCATGAATGACGCGATATTAAAAAGCATTTTTTCATTACCTGTAAAATCCCTGGCTACTTTCGAGTCTCGTACATAAACGCATTAATTAAGAAAAAAAATTGGGACATTCTCTGCAGGGAGGCAGGTCAACGCTGTGCTGGGACCGCGCATAAAGCAGACGCACGGCGGAACGCACTCACTCGCTCATTAGTTTGCTCGCTCGCTCATTCACTCGCTGCCACGGCGACATCCACCGCAGGGTCCCCACCTCTACAGGGAATGAGTTCCAAGCACCGTAACGCAGCTCACAACACTTCTCTTTCTGCTTCCTTCCTTGCGCTGCTCCCCCCATCGTCATCTCTTTGCTTCAATTCAAGAAGCGTGTTCACTCTTCCCTATTACACCAACGATTGTGCGCTCAGAAACTGCTTTGGGAGGTGTTGCCTCGATGAAAAAATGTGAACAGGAGGGGCAAACGCCAGTGCGTGAACCGGGAAGGGGCCTCTACGCAGATGAAATGATTTCCCAGAATAAGTCCGAGAACGCGGCGCTGCAGGAGGATCTGCGGCAGCTGTGCGCGTCGAACGGGAGCGGCTGCACGGAGCGCGGCGCAGATGGAGGCACCTCCGCTTGCGGGTGCCCGCAGCGGTGGCGGGGGTAGGAGGGGGCGGCTCTGTAGCCGAGGGGCACGGCCACGGAGGGTGCCGTGGGTTATCCTGGAAAATCATTTTAGTCCTTTGTCGCCACTTAAGAGCGAGCAAGCACCTTCATGAGTGACATCATCTTCCCGTTGCTGAGCAGCGGCGGCGGGCTCCTGGGCTGCCCTGCCGAGCCAGTCTCCTTGCCCTGTCCCTGTTGCTGTGCTGCCCTGACGCCGGGTTGCTCCAGCTCCTCCAGCCTCTCGAGCCTCCGCTTGAGGTCGTCCTCCAGCTGAGCGACCCGCGACTTGAGCCGCAAGTTCTCCTGTGCGCGCGCGGCAGTGAAACACGAGAGCGACGGCCACTTTAAAAACCAACACAGAAACAAGCGGCGGCGGCGGCCGCCGAACGTTGGGGTCAGGGGTCACAGCACCGAACTGCCACCGCTGAGATTAAGGGTTTGAATCTGGCCAAATACCAACGGTTGAACCGGGTTGTCGAGTCTTGCCTCGGTCGCCAATAAAATCCAAAATGGGTTTATTTCTTCACTTAAGCTGGCTAAATTCCAACTGTGCGAATTCAAGCAATCAAGTTTGATTGACATGCCACAATAACTGTTCACCGCGGGGCCTTAGTGTGGATAGAGAGGTACTAGTTGATCGACTTCGGGAACAGTTCCATGGCAACATTTGCCACGGAGTTTATGTGCGCCCCCCGCACCCCCACTTAGTAGCTGCTAGATACTCGACACGACTGCTGCTCTAGCTATCCACACGCCCATACAGAAAGGGCCACCCACCTCCTTGCAGGCCTGTGCTCACTGGCCTGTGTGTGTCTGTGTGTGCGTGAATGTGGTTTTGTCAGCACAGCGAGCGAACAGAGTGGAACGATTTTATACTAAATAAGTCTGGGTACTGCAAAGGTGCTATGTTTCGCAGACGGGTGCAATCTGATGGTACAGGGCATTGTTGCAAAGCGGTTTATCCAATTAATTATTTCGGTAATTTTCTTGCAATTTTCAGGGTTGGGATCGAACCAAATTCGGGCCGCGACGCCGGCGGCACGTGGCATACTCTCTTTCAAATGACGCCAGGGGACCTTTAACGTCCACCATGAAGCAGACGGCGCATATTTTTCACGGTTCGTATGCCCGCAGCATTAACCAGGGCGGCCGCTGGGCTCGAACTGTGAACACCTGCAATAGCAGCAACAAGCGGCGGACGCACAACGCCGCGGTGGCGGCGGCAGCAGCGGCAGTAGAGACCGCCCGTGCCAGGCTCCCCCAAGCGGGCATCGAAGGCGTTTGGGGGCGGAGCCCACGGAATTAAAAACCTCGTCCGTCCGCCAAGCGAGGCGGCTCCACTCGGCATCCCCTCCAGAGTGTCACGGCGATATCGGCACGAGCAGCACACGGCTTAATCCCACACGCCAGCTCCGCCACCAGCCCCTGATCAAAGCTGACGCGCTGCAAGGATAATTACTCAAAGCCGCCTCTCTCTCTCTCTGAGCTGTGACACGAATACGTCTGGTGGCTTTTGATTATTGCCGCGTTCTAACGTTTGTCGGTTCTCTTAACGTCAAATTATTTGTGAAATACAAAGGATATCACCGCCGGCTTAGCGCTGAAGCTTCCGAGAAACTGCCGGTCAATTGACTGAACCCTGTGACCGTTGGATGCGACAGAACATATGGAAGTCAAACTATGAATGTTTAAGGAATACATTTTAAAAATGTACAAGGGACTGTGTCTCAAAATTAAAATAGGCGAAATATTAGTCCTTCACCCTATCGGCCTTATCCGACAGCTTATAGCAGCATTTGTATCAGCAGGCAAACTCCATATGGAGCCAGTTCAGTGGAAACTATCCTTTGGGAAACCCTCAACTACCCTTAACCCATCACCACCGACTTATGACCATCAACCCCACACCACCATCCCATCGGCCTCGTGGCTCAGTGGTAGAGTGAGTGGCTCGCAATCAGAAGAGTTAAAATCCTAGTTGGGGTTTGACTCAGCCCATCATCTCTTCGGCGTCGACAAAATAAATACCGCCTTGGGGGGAAGTCAAAAACTGTTCCTGAAGACTCTCCGCCACCAGAAGAATGTGGAATTTCCACCACTACATGCGCAGGGCTGTAAACAGGATTTAAGCACTGCCTCAATGCTCAATTCAGCAAAATCTCGCTTTGACCACGCAATCGCCAACGTCCCACCGCCACCGCCTCATCGCCCCATCGCCAACGTCCCATCGTCAACGTCCCATCAGCACCGTGCGGTCACCACCGTCCCATCACCAGCACTCACAAGGTGCAGGCCCTGGTGAGCCGTCTCGGGGAGCGCCGTCGTGGGCGACGGAGGCTCGCGTGCCGCCAGCCTCCTGCGCAGGCGCTCGTTGTCGACACGCAGCACCTCGATCTGCTTCTCCGAGTCCGTGGAGACCTGGGGGCGCACGGCGAGAGAACTTGTGAGCACACTCTGGTTTACGCCACGAGATATCCGCCGGGGGATGCTCGAAATTTCCGGCGGTGCACAATGGCAGCCGGGTCGTGGCTCTGTGACCGCGCAGGTCCACACGGCTGTGACACGCGGCTCCCTCCGCAGCGCGTTTGCCCGCCAACGTTGCGCCCGGCGCGCCGGAAGCTTTTTCCGTTCTTCCTTCAGCTCCCGAAGCAGCGCCCGGGCACGTGGAGCAAAACGTCGGAAATCACGGCGGGACAATCCAAAACCACACCGGGGGAGGTCGTGAAGCGGCGGGAGCGGACGTGAGCACCCGGCGCCAAAGCGGAAGAACCGCGGCACTTGGGCAATCGCTCGCGCAGAATTTGTCCTGAAAAAAAAAAACTCTGCCACCCCCCCCACCCACCCACCCTCCACCTCGGAAGCGCTAAATATTAATAAACAAAACGTCAAAGCGGGACGCTCCGCCGGGGTCGACTCGCTAATCGTTTAATGCGCGCGCGACCTTGGCGACGCGCAATGATTAATGGCGCTCGCGGACACGGGCGGCTTGCGGTGGCTTGCCCGCCGCCCCCCCCCCCCCCCGCCAGCTCACGAGGGGCCCCCGTCTTCGTTTGGCCGCGGGCGACGAGGCACGGGCAAGCGCGATCGATGGGCGCCGGCATCTCCCGCTCGCATCACCGGCCACCGCGGCGGGCGCGAGTGCCGAGCGGCAGACACGACCGCTTGCCCACGGGCCAGGACGGAGCGATCGAATCCTCAGCAGGCTGCGGCTCCCGGTGTCCGGCGCGGAGGAGCTCTCAGCCTAGCAAGAGGCTACCGCTCAAGCCTCCACCGAATCGGCGCCCAGCCGACGCGAAGCCCCGACACGTCGTCCTCCACGACGTTATCACACCGCGCGACGCGTCTGTCATTTTTGCCGATGACTTGAGGAGCATAAATTTGCGCAAGGACGAGCGATATACACCGAAAATGTGCACACACGCAACAACAACAACGACAACGACGTGAAATACCTTACCAAAAAGGGGTTTATAGGAGGCGGTAAGTGGACCTGGAAAGCTGGCAAGAACATTTTAACCAAGTGATTTCTCGATTGTGGATGGCTGCTAGAAGCAGAAGGCTGAATTACGATCATGTTCACAAATCGTTGTAGTACTACTACTTCGACTATAAACGAAGTGTTTATTATGTTTCATATCCCATTAAAGTGACGAACGAAGCGCAGCATGGAGTGAACCCCTGTGTACTGTAGACGGTTGCTTTGCTGTGCACCAGTGATGGTAAGACGATGACACAGGTGCCACAATCATCACCAAAATAACAATGAATCAAATCACTTGGACGACGAAGTCCTCCGCGTCCCTTGCGAATCAACTCTGGAAAAGAATCGCGACCCCATATCGTAATCGTAACGAGTTAATCGACAAACACCGGCGAGACAGAGGGGCTCAGCACGAGCGCCGCCGGGGATCACATCTCCAGATATTACGCGAGGTGGGAGAAAGAGCCGAGGGAGAAACGCATTTGCCTTGAGCAAAGCATCACTCGGCTCTGTACACTCGGCGGTGAATATTTATTGGGATGGGGGGGCGCTGTGACCCGTGACCCCCCCCCATGCCCTCCAATCTGGGCCCCACCCCTCCCCCTCGTAGCACTGCCCAGTGACGGGGCTTACACCTTGTTACGCGCTGGCACGGCCGTGCAGTGGAGTACAACTTCACCGTGTGACTAAGTTAGTGTGGATTTAAAGCAGACCCCATGAATGCTTGCTTTATAACCACTGGTGGTGATGGCGGCGGTGGTGACGACGATGGTGGTGGTGGTGCTGGTATTCATAGCAAAGGTTTTTGAATTAGATCGCGTAAACGTAAATGTGTCGACACATTTATTTTCATGCCACTTCACCCAAAAACTTTTATTATGAACAATATTGGCCGTGAAAGCCGACGTGGTGAAGTGGTGACAGTAGCGGTAGTGGCGGTGGCGGTCGGGGCGGCGACAATGATGGTGGTGACAATGGTGGCGATGGTGATGCTAGCGGCAGTGGTGACGGTGGTGATAGTGATGGTGACGGCGGTGGTGGTGGTGGTGGTGGTGGCGGTGGTGGTGGTGGTGGCGGTGGCAGCTCCAAACTAACACGAAACGCGGCGGTAACCGAGACCCCTCCACTTACGATGGGCACCAGCACGGACGGCATCTCTCCACTCTCCCGCACGTCCTCCTCCACCACCGGGGCCTGCGCCACAGAGGCTGAGCCACGACCCATAGATACTGAGTCACGACCCGTCAGAGGCTGAGTCACGACACGTCAGAGGCTGAGTCACGACCCATAGAGACTGAGTCACGACCCACAGAGACTGAGTCACGACCCGTCAGAGACTGAGTCACGACCCATAGAGACTGAGTCACGACATGTCAGAGACTGAGTCACGACCCACAGAGACTGAGTCACCACCCATAGAGACTGAGTCACCACCCATAGAGACTGAGTCACGACCCATAGAGACTGAGTCACGACACGTCAGAGACCTGAGTCACGACCCATAGAGACTGAGTCACGACCCGTCAGAGACTGAACCACGACCCGTCAGAGATTAATCCATGACCCACTAGAGGTTGATCCACGACACATCAGATATTGAACCGCAATCCATTAGAAATTGAGCCGCAACCCATAGAGATTGAACCACGACCCGTCAGCCCAGCGATGGGGACTCACTCACACACACAAAGCGTGACCCATGTTTTGAAATGCAAACAACGAGAACAGGTAGAGGTGCAGCCCCCCTACAACTGCTTTCTCACACCACTGCCGGTGGAAGGGCATTCGGGCTGCACGTGGACAGAAGCGCGGTCCCGGAGAGGGATGGGGGCAGAGTGAAGAAGATTGCCCCACCGATTCAACTGCGGGAGAGTCGGGCGATGGAACATTCCTAGTCTCGTGTGCGTTCACCATTATGCCTAGGCAGCAGCCCGCAGGCCACTGACTGAAGTATCATTCATAAAAAAACACACACTTTTTTAATCTGTGATTTTCTTCAAATTCTTTCACACGGTCTTCATAAAGTCACGAGTTACTCCGATGATTATTTTTTTTATTCACACAAATTCAAAACAATCAGGGCCTTGTTCGAGGCGGCCCTGACTGCAATGCGTTCACGATGGTGATTAACTGCAATTCCTCAGGGCTCAAGAGGCCAAACCGCAGAAATGAGGACTCTGGTTAGAAATAAATGAGCCTAAATGAGCTGTACACACAGAACAAAAAACAAACTCCACACATTCGTCAACAACATTGTGGACTTCAAAATCTAAGTTTTGGGGGCAATGGACATTCTTCTTAGCACGTAAAGGGCCATTTGCCCAAAACGTCACCAATTTTTTTTTCTTTTTAAGGCCACAGTGTTATTGTAGAATGTATTGAGGTGTTTTTTATATATATTTGTGCTTGTGCACCACCAGTAAGGCAGCAGCAACAGCAGCACCACCAAATAGTTTGTCTACGCAGACGATGCTGACGCTAACGGCAAATGAAATGACAGCGTCAAGCGGGGGGATGACCAACCAGTGCCTCGAGTGCACGGTCACTTCTGCATGGCCGTTCTAAACCTCCGCTGCTTTGCCTCCTTCACGCAGGACCGAGGGCTTAGCCTCTCACCGAATATTTTCCAGGTCGCCGGTCAACCGGCTACCTGGAACGTGACTCGTAACCACGGCAATAGTGACAGGAGGCAATACTGGACGTGGTGTGCCGAGCGGCGAGACATATTTTTACCTGGTCGCCAGCCCCAGACGGACCCGGCTGAAACTAAGCCCAGCGCAGCAGCAATTGTCAAAGTAAATAAATAACTAACATGCTGCCACACGGCGCCCAGGTTGTGGGGCCCGAAGTTACGCGTCAGCAGCCACCGCGACAGTTTCACGAGGACCTGCGCTCACAATTCAAATTGTAACTGGAATTTCTGCCGCGCGAACGAACGCGAGTGCACATTTACGACAACGAGAAAACACAGACGCACGGTGGAACTAAAAACACACCGCTCCTGTTGAGTTTGTGCACAAAGAGAGAACACAAGCCCTGGGTTGTACACCGTGCCCTTCAAATCGTGGCGGCAATGTCACCTGGGCTTAATTTCAGCCGGATCTGCCCAGATGTGATGTTCCACACCCGGGACGTCACATCGAGAATAATACCTCTCTCTGTGGCTGTGGTTGCCTGTCGTGTGCATACTCCAATCTACTGGCAGCCTAGAAAATATGCAATGAGATATGAAGCCCGCAGTATAACACGATTGTCCATGAGAGCATGCTGGTGGCAGTGGTGGTACCCCATGGCTGTAAGTGGACGTGTGTATGCAGTATTCACGAGTGATACGTTCCAGAGATACAAGCAAAAAATAAAAGCAAATTTCGCTGATAATGACGTTGGCCTACGAACACCTATCCTTTAAAATGAATTATTTTAAATGAATCTCATCACTTTATCTCATCACTTTCTTTCTCTTGCGGCGCAGCTAGCAAGTCCGTGAATAACGAGGCAATCCCGCACTCGGCACGCTAGTACGCTAACCTGCGTTCTTGGGCCTGGCGCTCTCCGATAGTGCTGCTCCTGCCAGCCCTCCGTGTGGCCACCCGCAGCCGCCCGCTCTTGCCTGACCCTCCAGGCATCCGCCAACGTCGGGGCCGCAATCCCCGCGGCGTCTCCGCGGGCGCAGCCGTCCGCGTAGTCGAGGCCGCCCACGACGCTAGCCCGCCTCCTCCCCCCGTGGCCGTCGCAGGGGCCGCGGGCGTCCATGGAGTCCGAGAGGCGCTCGTTCAGCGGCTCCCGCAGCTTGACCGTGTCCGCGGCCGAGCACTGCCCGCCGGCGCCGCATGCCTCCGCCGCGGGCCGGCCGGCGTGGCGGAGAAGCGTTCCGCCGCCTCCGTTCTCGGCCGCGCCGTCAGGGGATCCCGCGAGAGCCTCGTGCCGCGGCCGCGAGGGCGTGGGCCACGCGAGCCCCCGAAACGACGGCTCTGCGCGGAAACAGGCACACGGGCAACGGTTACGGCGGCGGGCGCGGGGAGACTGAGCGCGACGAGGAGGAGGGCTGTCCAACTCGCTCCGGGGTCGGCGCGCCGCTCTCAGCGCGACCGCACGCGACGACCTCTTTTCACAAAGTGGGGCAAATTTCCCACACTGCGCCCATAATGGGTGCTACACGCCGCTGGCTGCTGCTGCCAGTGCCGCCGTTGGTACCAGCGCAGACCCGCAGCCAGAATTGGGCCACCGTGTCCCGACGATCAATTTGCAAAGCGGGCGCTTCAGATACGCCCGCAACAAGTTTCACATCTAAGTTTGTCGACCGAGTATTTTGTTGTCGTCCTCGTCGTGCGATTACCCACCAACCCCCCCCGAGGCAGGAGTGCTCCCAAGCACCGGGGAAGAACAGCAGCAACAGCGCGTAATCCCTCACCCGCAGCAGCCTCTCGAACGCGGGCGGCACGACAGGTTTCCTTCAACCCCGGACTTTGTCGCCACACGCCGGCTCGCAATCGTGCATCACCGTCTGGGATTGTCTCTCGCTCGCAGCCGCCAGCGGGCGCGGCGGAGCGACCGAGCTTCCTCTCCCAGAGCCCAGGTTACAACATCTGCGCCGCATTGGGGCGCTCGCAGCGTCTGGGAGCGGAGATCCGCGGGCACACCCTGGAGCCGTGACTCATTGCGCAAGAACTTCCCCCCCCCACCACCACCTCTCATTAAAAAAACACGCACACACACACAAACACACGCGCACACACACACACACACGCGCACACACACACACACACGCGCGCGCACACACGCACACGCCGTGTACCTCTCTGTGTATCTCACGAGCAAAGCCACCCCTGAGATGCGCTCGCGAGTGAGCCAGCCCTTTGCGAGGCCCCCCCCCCCAGCTCGCGAGGAAATGGACTGAGGAATGTTCCATATATGGAGAGGGAGTTGACTACGGCACAGAAGCCACGCCGCAACGATGGCCCCTTCTCTCCTCCCGCCAGACGCTTTCCGGCACCCCCTGGTTTCGACGTCCACCCGACGTTCACAGTTTCCTCGCCCAACGTCTCCAGCAGGAGTGTGAACCGCGTGCGCGCGCGAGAAAAGAGTTCACGGCGAGCCAATTTGCGCGGTAATTGGCGCGCTAATTGACGCGCTTTTCCGACGAACCACAAAGTGGATTTTAAAACGCAATGAGGGGGAGAGAGTTCGTGAACCGTTCGAAAGCACGCAATTTCGGAGCGTTCAGCTCTCCACTCAAGTGACTCACTCGGGGATTCCACTGAACATCGATCGTCGCCCCCTGCTGGCGGAACAACGCCCCCCGGGTCGCTCCTGCAAGTGAGACTCCTATGCCCGTCCGTCGAGTCCTCACCCCGGTGAAACCCAATAAACAAACTTGAACTTGGACTCCAACCCTCCCGCCCGGTCACGGCTCGGCTGTCCCACTGGGCAAAAGACGTCAACGCGATCGGACAAGGGGTGGGTGGGTGGGTGGGGGGAGGAAGTGCCGGATCCCGGATTCTGCGCTCAAACGCCCAACGTGCAGCTGCAGCCCGAGCGAGGGACGGGGGAAGCAGCCGAGCTCACGCACAGGGAAATCGCTGAGCGCTGTCGGAAGTTTAAATGTGGCGACGCTCACCTCGCACAAAGGGCGGGGGGGGGGTTTGGGAAGTGGGGGCGGGGCAGGGCGGGGGGAGTGGTGGGGGGCTTCTGGCAGACAATGGAAGAGGCAAAGTGGTTTGTGAGTATCGGCAGTGAGCCGGAGAAGGAACCAGGAGCAGAGCTCCACGCCGTGTCTCCAACGTGAAAAATAACACGAATAAATGTGTCCATCGGCCAACTGCCACCCAGAGCAATATTATCCAGCAGACTTTGTGTGGACTGTGGTGGGGTTTTTTTTTTTGGGTGGGGGGGGCTTTCTGGGTCTCATCGGCAGTCAGGCTTGTTGAACGAATGCTGTTGCTGGGTTAACTGGTGTTGTTGGTAAGAGCATTCTGTCTAAGCTATGGGCTCCTGGCGGCATCAAAGAGGTGACCTCTGGATTGCAAGTCCAGTGCGCTAACCATTACACAAAGGCTCGCTTCCCTTCTGTGTCTGTCCATAAGTGCCGGAGGTGTTGCCGTGTGATATTTGCAAGGGTCCTGCTTTTCACCCTTTTATAAATGATCTGCGCCAGGTCTTCCTTGTTTAGATCAGCGAGAGAGCTAAAACCAGACACCGCTGCGTCATAATGAGTGGGCACACGCGTGTAATCACTGCAATAACCGCATCATGCGCTCATCGCAGACTGAAATGACAAACACCCACACCCGGACGAAATAGCCCGCAGTGCAGCCACCCCCAGCGACAAATGTTGATTGCATTCTGTTTTGCAGACAACCGGCACTTTCGCCGTCCCCACGACAAACCCACCATCAACATCACCCGACTCACCAGAAGTAGCCATCGGCCACGATCTTTCTGAGCAGCTGCCCACAACAAACCCAACAGCCTTCATCCTCGCTCACCAGTGTGTGTTGTTTTACGCAAGGCTGCGTGGTCAGCTGTTCCTCGGTTGAATAAGGATGTTTTATCGCGTCGTTTTTATGGACCTTCGCTCCATAAAGGAAGATAACAGGGCCTCACTCTTGCCTCTTCTGTTAGTGCCAGCTGAGCTTGCATCATGCGGGGACGACCGTGGAGGAGTGGACTGAATCTATCTGTGCAGAACTTTGAGTATGCTTGGCGACTTTCCTCCTGGCACGTCAGTTTCATCCCACGCGACAATCACTTTGAAAATTGGATTGGCCAAACGTCGCAATACAGGACCCTCCCGTAAGGGAGTCGTGAGACTCGCTGAAGCGTTTCTGGATAAATAAAGGACAGTACGTATTTATCAAGTAACCCATGACCAAATCACCAAGAATGCGACAGTCACCATGTCCTGGGCGGCCACCATCCATCACAGGTGGTACAGGCCACGGGGCTACATTTCGCGCAGCACAGGGAAGTGCAGCAAAATCCAAAGTGATTAAATGCTGTGCTCCCAACACCTGCGATCCTCGCCCTCACCAACTCATGGACAACTTTCGTCAAAATAGCTCCCGCATGCCATGGGGGGGGGGGGGGGGGTGGTGCTCATCCAGCAGCGGATTGATACAAAATCTGCACACCGTGCTACGACAACAGCCACCTGAGCTTCACTCCCAGCCGCGGCTACAATCAGTGATGGGTGATATTTGAACTGCCCCCCCCCCCCACACCTTTAGTAACCAACCCGCACCGACCAGCACGGAGAAGTGCGATCGACGAGCCCGCAGGGCGACCCGCACGGCCGCGGCGGGTCGCTCGCCCAACACCGGTGGGTCGACCCAGGGGCGGGCGGCAGGCCGCGCGAGGTTTCGCAACGCGGGCCACTGTTACCGGTCAGGAATGCCGCCAGGAATCCGAGCCGCAAGGCCGGACGCGGTATCTGATGCGGGAGGGCGGCCGGGCGGGTGGGCGAATCTCAGGCAGCAAAAGATGACTGTCCCCATCAGACTCCACGGTGGGTAGCGTGACCTCCAACTCTTGGCTCCGCGGGTCTCACTAATTATGTGCCATGAATATAGGCCACTGCGCGCAAGGTTGCCGATTACATTTTATTTTTTTTAAAAGGCCACGGCGTTGTTATTGATGAACGCCTTGCATTTAGTGTCCTCAAACGACTGCCAAAACAGGTTTAGCTGCTGCACGACGCTCGAGCCAGCAATAGCCACACACCTGCTCACGTCACGTCAAAAGTGGCAAGGAGACACACTTTCGCCAAGGTGCATTTGAGCGCGCTAATTGTATTATTTATTGCATAAAGCATTCACGACTAAGATGCCTTTCTACATCCACGGGTGGATACAATAACATCGATGACGACACCAGTGGTTAATTTAAAGTGCTTTGTGTCAATCGGCGAATTAAAGGCCTCTCCCCATGCCGTGTCGGTCATGAGGGTTATTGGACCATGCTCGACCGCGTTGGTCAATGTGGATTGGTGAAGTTGTGGAGGGGAGAAGCCCAGGATCGATTCAGATACAGGTATGCAGAAAAATACATATTTTACTTGCCACTCGTGCCGCCAGATTCATGGCGCTCTGCGCGACCCAGCACCGCTTCTCTTCCCCCTCTTGTAAATCTGCTCATTTACCTAAGCATGGCATTTACGGTGCGTGTGGAAGACAAATAACCACTCCTGGGGTAGTGGTGGGGGAGGGTGGGAGGGGGGCAGAGATGTGGTGAGCTCGACAAGGCTGTTGTCACTCCGCATAAGCAAGGACAGAGGGTCAAGGCGCAGCCCTGCAGTTTCCTGCTCACGCCACTGCTGGCGGAAGGGCCTCCACTTGGGGCAGGCTTACAGAGGCCCTCTCGCCCCTCTGGCTAGGCACATTGTAAGACGTGGAAGTACCCACATTTTACCCGACCCCACACGACCTACCCATCGACCAACTGTGGTGGAACGATTTAAACTTCTGGGTAGATGGAGGCGATGAGGGCGGGAAGCAACCTTGCCCCGAGTGTTTCAACAGCCGAAACCGGGACATCGATTCGAATCAGCAACCTCCGAATTGCACGTCCTGTACACCATTACCCCACGGCGGCTCCCCCTCTACGCGAGGTGAAATATCTTGAAAAGCCACCCCAGAGGGGGGGCACATATTCCAGACGTCTCTGGCGCGACCCCCATCTCTGGCCGCCGCAGATTACCCGGGAAATCTCTACATCGGCGGAGAAACAAAACTAAAAATAAAGAGACGCGAGGGGATTAGCGGGATTATTGGCCTTTCAAATGCTAATGCGTGGGTGCTTGGCCCTGGGCAATACCCAGCACTGACCGCTGTGTTGCAGAGGCACGGAGGCCCGCGGGCACACTGCATTTCACATCTCACGGTGGAGATGCCATTAAGATGGCAGTGACAGGCAGCAGCGGCAATTAAAAGTTGTACAGCTGGGTCATGCTAAGAAATGGAATTAGAATAACGTG